GTGTCTGAAAAATGAATTTTTTTTAATATTATAATTATATACTTTTCGAAATACATAATTATAATCAAGGGAGTGACTGAACAAGATTTATATTCGTAGCATTATACTTATATTTTCCTTTATAATAATATATATAGATGATCAATCTGAATCCCTTGTCAAAGAAGAACCAAATCAGCAAATCCGTCAGCATATATATTTTACATCTAAAATCCCATTAATTTAATCTTTATGATTTTTTTAACTATTTGGTCTTTTGGGGAAAGAAAAAAAATCCATTTGATTCGGCTGTGTACCGATGGAGAGAGGGGATCCAGGTATGTCATAGTTTTTCCAACTATATAATTTTTTTAATGCACTCTTTTATAATAACAGATATTGGTTCGAGAAAAAAAGAAAAAGAAAAAAACAAGCGGTGTAGAGTTGATCTCGAGATTCATGTGTATTGAAAATAATATTTTTCAATTACCTGAACAATATGAATCAGTTCCTCTAATACTTTTCATATGGTGGTTGACGATGATGTTATATTGACAAATTAAGCTATGGTGAAAGTGCAGTAAAACCCCGATACTCGAGTCAATACGAAACTAGGATGAAGAATGTAAACAGATTAGATATGTGCATGAGTATGTATAAAAAATAAAAAGATATGTGCATGAGCGAAAAAACACTATAATTACAATCGTATTAGGGATCATCGGTTACTATGATCGTGGAATATCTTCGGAAAGATATGTGGTTGATTCAATGATTTGGTGGGATAATTATCAATGGTTATTCATAGGGCTGTGCATGGGTCAGGTCGGGTCAGGTTTTTGTCCGACTCGACTCAACTTGGTTTTTATAGGTCAGGTATTTTGACCCGACCCGCTTTAATTTGATCCAAGTCAGGTCTGACTTGGATTGGATTTTGTTGAACTAGTTCAGAACCAGTTTGGAGCTGACCCGACTTGGTTTCTGAAGTGGGTCTCACTTAGTTTCTGAACTTGGTCAAATATGACCTGACCCGTTTTTGACTTGGTTTTCTCACAAAATTTTGTCGAAATTTTTACGATGCAAAAGACGAAAATTTCGTCACAAAATTATTTTTTCGTCGAAATTTTTACAAAAAAAATTTTCTATTGAAATTTAGTTTCCGTCAACAGTTTTGACGAAAATGATTTCTTCCATCAAATGTTTTAAACGAAAAAAAAAATTTGTCAAAAAATTTGACGGAATGTTTTTCGTTCAAAATTTCGATGAGAATGTGTTCTGACGAAAATTTTGACGGAAATTATTTCGAGGGAAATGTTTCATTTGAAACTTTCGACGAAACTTAGATTCTCTAAAGAATTTTGACAGAATATTTTTTTTGTCAAAAAAATTTACGGAATTTTTTTATAGAAATGTGTTTCGTTGAAAATTTTGATGCAAATTTTTTATCAAAAAATTTGACGAAAATATTTAGTTCAAAATTTTCGATAGAAATGTGTTTCGCTAAAAATTTCGACGAAAATTTTTTTTTGTCAAAAAATTTAACTAAAATTTTTTCGTCGAAAACTTTCGCCAAAATTTGAAATCTGTAAAGAATTTTGATGAATTTTTTTGCCGTCGAATTTTTTTCGTCAAAATTTTTTTATCACAAAAATGTTTCCGTCGAAAACTTTCGCCAAACTTTGAAATCTGTAAAGAATTTTGATGAAATTTTTTGCCGTCAATATTTTTTGATGACGAAAATATTTACGTCGAAAACTTTCGCCAAAATTTGAAATCTGTAAAGAATTTTAATGAAATTTTTTGTCGTCGATATTTTTGCCGTCAAAATTTTTTGATGACGAAAATGTTTCCGTCGAAAACTTTCGCCAAAATTTGAAATCTGTAAAGAATTTTGATAAAAATTTTTGCCGTTAAAATTTTTTACCGTCAAAATTTTTTGATGACGAAAATATTTTCGTAAAAAATTTTCGCCAAAATTTGAAATCTGAAAAGAATTTTAATGAAATTTTTTGCCGTCGAATTTTTTTGATGGAAATTGTTTTGAGGAAAATGTTTCATTTGAAACTTTCGACGAAATTTAGATTTTCTAAAGAATTTAGACAAAATATTTTTTTTGTCAAAATTTCTTATCGAAATATTTTTGTCAAAAAATTTTACGAAGTTTTTTTACATAAATGTGTTCCGTTGAAAATTTTGATGGATATATTCTTTATCAAAAAACTTGACGAAAATATTTAGTCGAAATTTTTTGATAGAAATGTGTTTCGCTAAAAATTTCGACGAAAACTTTTTTTGTCAAAAAGTTTAACGAAAATGTTTCCGTCGAAAACTTTTGCTGAAATTTGAAATCTGTAAAGAATTTTGATGAAATTTTTTTCCGTCAAAGAATTTCGATGAAAATGTGTTTCGTCGAAAGATTTTATGAATATATTTTTTTGTGAAATATTTTGACGAAATTTAGATTCCGTAAAAAAATTTGACAAAAAAAATATACCGACAAATTTTTTTACCGATATGTTTTTAGTCACGAATTTTGAGGAAAATATTTTTCGTCAAAATTTTTTGCGAAAATTTTTATGAAAATATTTTTCATAATTTTTTTTTTTCACATAATGGGTATGGGTTAAGTTTTGGGTCAGTGGGTCAATATTAAAACGAGTCAGGTCTAAAACTGACCCAAATAAAAGTGGGTCAGTATTTAAACCAGTTCAAAAAATATGGGTATTTATGAGTCGGGTCAAGGTCAGATCAAGGGCAGGACAAGTGAACCAGTTTTTTTGCACACCCCTAGTTATTCATATGAGAATGTGAAACCAATGACATTAAGATGATGGGCTCAATATATTGGTTTGGAATAAATACCATTAGATATTAGTCTCTCGCCTATCACGTAATGGTATACTATTAATTTTATGTATTTAGTTTGTCGGGTTTGTTTTTCTCCTTTCACAAGAGAAAAGAAATTTTTCTACACACACGTGTTTAAGATAGGTCTCACCATTAAGAAATTAAAAAAAAAAAAAACAAATCACACGTATCGATGTATAAATAACATGAGAAATACTTTCTCTAACAACATAAGAAAGTGTTTCTCCTAAAATAAATTAAACATTCACCTAACTCCTTTAGTTACTTGAAAATGTTAATGAAGAATCAGTACACATTTAAAGAAAAATACTTTCTTTTACAAACGAATTAAAATATATAGGGGCATGATCTTCTTACATCGATATAAAGAATAATAAATTTTATATTTAATCTTAACCACTGATTTTTGATATGTGATAATTTATTGAGAATTAATAATTAATTACTGAGAATAATTTCATTCATTTTTTATAGACGAAAATCAAAAATGAAGATTGAGTGTAATATTATTATAGCGTACGAGATAACTCATCTCGTAGATTATTAGTATTGTGGAGATCCCAAACGTTGGTGTTTTGTGCATATATATTTATTTATTTTGAGTCAGATCCAACGAAGCAAAGAAATATTTTAAAAGCCACTCGTATTAATTAGAAATCGAGCATATCCTGTAAATATTAATTAGAAAGTCCAAACACTTCTGAATGAACGCATAGATCAGATCACTAGTTTCGGTTATTCTATGCTTTTTTACTCTGCTAGAATTTTCTTGTCTTATCTAAATTAATGAATAATAGTGACGAGCGATCCTTATATAAACAGTGTATCAACTTTAAATATACAGAATTAATAAATTACTGACACATAATTGTTAATTATTATCAAATAAATATTTTGTGTAATATTATTCTAATGATATATTTTAACTTGGTAGACTCAAATTAGATACATGATGTTTATCTAAGAATCTCTAATAATAACTCATTCGTCTGCATTGGTACATTCATGGGCCTCCAATCTCTGTCCCAAGTTGACATGGGATATGCATGGTGTTGACTGTTGAGGAGAAGACATTCTTATGGGCCAAGCCAGCCACTTCCTATATCCCAAAAGAGAAAAGAACAATGAGAGTAGTCTAAGGCCAGAAGAAATAAAAATGATTATGAGTTAGGCCCCAAAGTAGGCGAGGATCATAGAGTCACTGCTATAAAGCTTTGATGTTTTAGTTTAATTTTTCATTGATTGGGATCAAAATTTGTAGTTACAAGATTCAAGTTATAGTGAGCTGTGATATTGTTTCATACAGAAATTCCTAAGCCCGGGCATGAAGTCATGATTCTTCACTGTTAACTTGTGCTGTCTTACTATATCTTTCTATGTAAGAATTTTCAAGCTAATCTTTCTAAGTTGCTGATCACAAATTATATAAGCTTGAATTATGGATGTGATTAAATCAGTCATTATACATATATTTAACTAATTAATATTGAAGACTATAGCAAGGTTATGTAAATGATCTATGTTGAGGTTACGGAATTCACAAAAATATATTCATTAATTACAATATGACCTTAAATAATTGACTTATCTAATATTCAAATTTAGAATCAGTTTTTTTATTTACACATGACAAACTTGATCGTCTATACGGGGAGGATTTTAATTTCATTTTACATAGTAGAGATAGATAGAACAGAGAAGTAAACAGAATAGAGTGCAGACCATGAATTTAACAAGGATCTTGAATTTTCTTTTACAACCATATCCTTCATTTTTTTTTCGGTAATATTCCATCACTCTTATTAATTAAATATGAAACATTCATCTTCTACAAATATTGGAAGTTCCAAATCATTATTTTCAAAACCAAATAAGAGATCAAACCATGTCAAAATTTGTAAATCATGATTAAGTTGTTTTAACCAATTGAATTGATAGTTTAACTTCATGATTCAACTGAAGTCAAACTTGACAATGCAATAAGAAGTAATCAGACCAAAAACATAATTCATTATAGGCAGATTTAAGTAATTTAATTTTTAAAACCACTAATTTGAAAGGAAAATTTCAAAAAAGATAACAATCAAAGGGTAGAAAACGACCACCATATCTTTCATATTCTGAAAAATAATAATAATTAGCCACTGCTATTAATTAAAAATTATACATCTATTATAAATAACAAATTGATGCACCTTCCATAACATAGCCACATGTCACACGTGCTAGTTACATATATTCACTATTGATGCAAGCTAATTTACATTCCTACAAGCTGTACACGAGCTAATCTTAAAGAGACTAGTCCAACATGCACCGCACATCAAATCCGACGGTGCACGATTATGGATGAACACGTCCATCAACCGTTTCAATTCTATTCTTTTCTATCATTTTTCTTGCCCTATCTAAATATGTGATCCTTATATAAACAATGTATCAAATTTGAGTACACTAAATTGATAAATTACTAACACACCATTAATTTTTTTAATTAGCATTTTAATGATGGGTTAATACTTTATTAACTTAGTAGAGACTCAAATTCGATGATGCACCGGCACAGGCACAGTCATGGACCTTCCAGTCTCGTGCTACCGTGCAATGCAGCCACTGCAAAAAATGAGCGTGCCTGTTTCAGAAGGGCTTGGAGAGGTACATGAAGATATCCTGCAGCGGCGACATCTGATTACCGCTCTGGAATTGGGACCCGAAGCTCCCACAGTTTAGAGTGGCATCCACGTAATTATAGGGAAACTCGAGGTTCTTCTTCTGGTCCCACTCGTTCCACTTTGGCTCGCTCTGCACCTCACTCGCGAACTCCGGCGAAACCACGTGTTCCGAGCAGCTTGAATCCGCCGTGTGCAGCTTCGGAATCGAGTCGGAGGCGTCGAAGTATATGTAATCCGTCACCGCCGCCGCAGGAGGCGGCGGCGGTAAAAGAGCTCCGCCACTCGTTAGAATCTCCGGCTTCTTATCCTCCATTCCTGAGGATTCGGTTTTGCAGATACTACTCGGTTGTTTCTCAACGGTGCCTTTCTTGTTGTAAATGCGACAAAGCACCCAATCATCCAGCTGCAGAATCAGAACCATCGAAAAGGTAAGAGATGTAACTAGGAATAATTTCTGTGAATACAAAATATTAATTTATTATTGTCATTATTATTTGTTATCATCATGGATTTGATCTGAGCCCAAAAGAAAACCTCAACCACATGCTTGTGAGGTTGAAAACAAGTTAGAACCGTTCACTTGAAACGAGGCTTCATGCACTTGCACGTGGCGGGACCCATATGTCATGATCAAGTCTACTTCAGGGGTGGAATGGTCATTTTGTGTGATAAATTAAGTATCATGGAATAAAATATCCATTATTAATTATAGCCTGATGTTGAAGATGGAAAAACTTATACCCTTAAACTGTTCTTTTTACGAACGGAGCGATCCACGTCGGCCAGACGATACTCGTGCATGATCCAGTTTGTTTTCACTCCTTTGGGCGCTTTCCCTGCGTAGAACACTAAAGCTTTCTTGATTCCAACCGGTTTAGGATGACCAATCGGTTTATCCGCTCCGGTTGCCTTCCAGTAACCGGTTCCAGCCGCCCGGTTCGGCCTCGAACCGTTCGGGTATTTCCGGTCCCGCGGTGAAAAGAAGTACCACTCCTTCTCTCCATACAAGGCCATTCCTGTGTAACAAATAACAATAATAACAGAACGCACAACTCAAATTATTATCAAAAATAAAAAAAATAATAATATTTTTTTTCTAAAATGAAATAATATCGAGTTAGTTATTTACCTGGAAGGTCCCATGGATCGTACTTGTAAAGGTCAACTTCGGCGATGATCGGAACGGCGATTTGCTGCGACGCGCATTTCCGGCAGAGGTAATGCATCACGAGCTCCTCGTCAGTTGGGTGGAATCTGAATCCAGGTGGCAATTGAAGCTCGGTTGCCATTAATTATTTTATTTTTTATTTTTCCTCCTTTTCAGTGGAAAATAAATGTTGCAGTAACTGAGAACCGGAACTCGCTTAGAGCAACTGGAGCGGCGGCGTTGAAACTTAAAACATAAGGGAGTGATGATATTTTATAGGCATGCAGGGAGGGTGAGTGGAGAGAGAAAGGCTAGGGTTTGGTGCTTAAAAGTGGTGACGTGTGTTGACACGTGTCGAGAGTGAAAGTGTAGTGCGCGCGTGTCGAGAACCCACATGGGGTGGTTTAGTCATTGCTTACGACACTGGTTTTGGACTGGGGTGCCGCCGTGTATGTCGGTCCGGACCTACCGGTTTTTTTCTAGGGATTCGAATAGAGTCGGCGCGTTGTTTTCGTTTTTTTTTCTTTCTCAGATCCTAGAAAGTTCAACGATGGGTAGGATGTACACGTCACTCTGATCTGTCCTGCTTGCTTTGGATCATCATTCTCGCGTGATTTCTAGTTTGTGCTGTCGTACTTCAGCACTGTGGTTTTTCTTTTTCTTTGCTTGTTTGCCATTTTACACTATTCTCTCTTTATCATCATTTTTCTCAGTTGGATTGGATCTGTGTTGGTTCGGTAAGAAATTATTTGCTTATGGGTAATTTTTAACTTTACATTGGTTGTTTATCAGATGGAAATGCATATTAATTTTTACCTGCTTCATTTATTGGTAATCATTTATAACAATAGTTAAAAATTAATGAATCATCTTAATATTCGCTCAAGAAAATTTACACTAATAAGAATTATGTTGAATTTAAGGACATTGAATTCTAGTGTATTGAGAGCTAATCAGCTTAGAAAAAAGGAAGACCCGATCCAACGTTTTGATGATTACTTGTTCGAAGTTAGAACATTGACTTACAGAAGTGGAGGATTTTTTTATTTTTTATTTAGATATAGTAAAAAACAAAGTTTAAAAAGATAAATCTTGTCTCATTTTAATGATTAAGCATGCCAATTGAGAGATCCAGTTAGACTAAATGCTATATCACAAAAACACCGAACCCTTTATTATTATTATTATTTTAAATAATTATGTACGTACACTATTTTCACGACTCATTTTTTATTTTTAATCTTGACGAGTATTTTGAAATAATATCACAAAACATAGACACGATATTTCATATTATATAAGTTATATTATTTGACTATAATTTATTTTTTTATCTATTTATAATTTAATTATATTATTATACAAATGTAAAGTGTAGTAATGTACACTAATATTATTCATTATTTTTTGTGTTCAACAATCAACACGACAAATTAAAATAACTTATTCAGAATGAAAAAGGATAGAAGCTTTATCGTGTGCCGCTTCCCTTTCGGTGTGTTCGGTGGTTGCTAGTTGCTAGTTGATAGAACTTAGAAGCTTTTAACAATGTTATTGCCGTACCCCTTTGTAATACAGTCCACTCACTCAAAATCAACCATTCGGCATAGTATTATTCATAGTTGGAAGACAACTGAAATTTTAAAAAAATTGTCCCCTTCATTGAATTTGATACAAAAACTATCAAAATGAGACCGAAAATTTTGTCCGATTCATTGAATTTGATAAAATCGGATCAACATGAGACTAAGGAAAATGTAGCTAATAACTAAAAGCTAAGTTTTTTTTTTTAAATACCAATCGGAATGTCCAGTAATTCAATTTCGGAATTGAGTCTCTTCATACTCCTCAAATAGTAACTTTAAATTTAACCGAGACATCACAATAGGTTAACAACTTTTGAATAACTTGAATTTTTTTTATTTTGTTGATATAATACAAGTAAATATTCAATTTTTAAATTATTAAAAGCAATATTGATTTAGTTATATATAAAAATTCAATATTAGTTTTGTTCTTTAATCATATAATATAATACTATTCTTGTTTCCCAATCAAGATTCATTAACATATTTTCAAAACATATAAAATAATACTAATTTTGGAATTAACCTCTCGTTATTTGAGAGGCTTGTCATCTCTCTCTCTCTTTCTCTTAATTACTATAAACTAAAATTTGAATAAAAGTCTAGTGGCATCATTTACAATTCAATAAAAACAAGAATCTATTGGAAAAAATAAATGCAATGTTTATCCAAAACTATATATATATTTTTTGGGTGAAATCTAAAACTCATTTAATTAATTATGATCTATAGTTTTTTTTTACTAATTCCTAAACTATTCTTCACAGTTATTTTCATCATGGAAACTCATGACATATATTATTCTTCACAGTTATTCCACTTATATGACAGCTTTACCGTTTTATAAGACTAAAACATGGAAATAAACTGAGAAATCAAAATTAGGAAATCAAATATCTCATAAGATGAAGAAAATAGGATAAGTATTATCAAACCAAGGGAGAAAGATGGGAGAGCATCATGTTACAAAAGAAACAATATGTATAGATACCAATCATAAATGAGCAAGTTAACACTGATCTATTAGTGCGATGGTTATGAAAGGAGATAATTGCATCATCAATATAGACAGTTATAAAATTTATATTCGAAACTCAATTTATTCATAAATTATTTTACAACAATAAACCTATAATTAATCTCTTTACCTTCTAACCCAAAAATAACATAAAAGATGCCAACAAAGGTGGGCACAGTTGGCTAAGGGTTTGGTCCATACCCCTCAAGGGCGTGGGTTCAAACCCCGCTGGCCGATGTGAGGACTTTGTTGGTGGGTGATATGTAATCCCTCTCAGAAATCCTCAAAGAGGTTGGGGGGTCTTCCCTGACCTTAGTGGGATACCGGTGTCTAACCTCACTTAAACTTTTATTTACAAAAAAAAAAAACATAAAAGATATAAACAGTTTTTTAAAAAAAAGCTAAAACTAAGAAAACAAAAATACTACCGTTAAAAGAGAACAACCACAACCCCATTAATAAATAAAAGAGGAAATCAAACACCATGTAGTAAAGGAAAATACCCCAGAGAGAGATAGAACTAAGCCAGCACATTATTATTGCGTGAATATTTCGAGAAGCATATCATCTTTATTGCGTCATAAAATATGATGTTTCGGATAACAATATCAAACACATGGCTTTGAGTATTTTAAAATATTATTTCTCAGTGTAATAAAATAAGGAAAAAAATGTTTGTTGTTTTAAAGGATATAAATTTGTGTTATTTTAGATCCTAACCGTTAATTTCTGTCGATCATCGGTTAGGATTTATTGAGCCAAACTTATTGATTAATTAATAATTCACAATATAACACAATAAATCCTAACCGTTGATTGGCGGAAATCAATGATTAGGATATAAAGTTATAGGGGTTTGTATTTGTTATTTAACATGACACAACAAATTTTCCTACACACAATATTTTGTGGGGTCCACACTTTTTGAAGAAAAAAAGAAAATTACAGCACGCAAAACGAATCTCTATAATATTACACAATCATTTTTTCTACAACATAATTCTTATAAAACCCAAAGTTATATCCATAATTTTTGATAACAACCGTTAACATTTAAATTTACACAGGTGTGCATCAGATATGCATCAAGATGGAGTTGCAAAATGCCTCTTTATAATTCAATAAATGTTTCGGATAATTAACACTGAATTGACATGCAAGCTCCAACGAATAATTTAGTGATCATCTCACTACTTACACATAAAGATCCCCTCACTCAGCACACATAATTCAACGGACATGAATATAAACTTTCATGGCACACAAAATTAATTAGCAGCTCTATCTTTTTCACTTTTGCTGGGAAAAAACCTTTTTTTATTTTTATAGGAAATGTTTTTGCAACTAAATTATTAATAGGGAACACCTTTAAACTACCATGCGTTCTACACAATAAATTGAATAAATAACTTCATCATAACACATGATTCAACCAAAGCAGTAGTATCATTCGAGTTCGAGGTATAAAAACCTATTATTCGGTTTAATCAAGAACACAAACTTTCCATAATAGCTAGCTATTTAATAAACGGCTTGACCTTTCAATTTCATTAAAAGGACTATACATATGTTGTCCAAATGAATTGAACACGTTGTGTTAATTTCCTCGTTTCAACTTGGCCTATTGAAATAATCGAATGCAAAACTTGATGGAAAATGAATCACGCGAGCTAAGGGGGCGGCGAGACAAGACTAGGACTTTTATTTGCCCTCATCAATTCCACTTCTGAAAACAACATAGAACTTTTAAAGGATGAAAAGAGTTGCTAACCGTCACAAAAGCCTCAACTTTTAATTCTCTTCCTCACTCTTTCTAATTTAACTACTTCCACTTTTTATTGATCATCAAACATAATACACTCAAAATACTCAAATAAAATTCAATAAAATTTAAGCTTTTTAAATGTTGATTATAAATGTATGTGTTTTTGCCTTGTTATTTTTTTTTAAGAAAATGGCGAAACCCATATTGACAATGCTTTTAAGATTAAAATTTGTTATAAAGAAGAAAAATTTCAATGCACCGGTCACCGAACTAGATACTCCTTTTTTATTAAAGGAACATTTTTTAGAATTTAAAAAGAAATATAAAAAAATATATAGATAAAAAGAGAAAAAGTCTTATTTAATAAAAGGAAGTATCAATCGGTGATCTCATTATGGGGTGTTTGGTCTAGAAAATATATTTTTTTACCGGAAATTTTTTTTTCTAAGAATATGGGATAAACATTTTTGTCTTTACTTAATTAATTGTACCGAAGTTTTTCTCGTCGTAAAGTAAAATGTTGCCATTATTCCAATGGTTAAGGTAAGCAACTTTTCAATTGAAGCGAGTCCTGCGGTGATGTTCTTTTCATTTTCCAACTACATTTTGTGGAAAGAGAGGCGAGGCTTCGTGCAGCATGACCCAATTTTCTTTATTTCTTTGTCTCTTTTGTCATGTTGTGTATTTTATTGTAGAGTAAATATCATTTTAGCTCCTTGACAAAAAACACTGTTCTCGTTTTAGTCCCTTAGAAAAAATATTTAGTTTCGGGGTCCCTGCCAAATTCAAAGTGGACTCATTTAGTTGAAATCGTGGTCCCTCACAAATTCAAAAAAGACTCGTATTAGTCCCTTAAAAAGATTAAAATAAATCCATTTTGAATTTGTTAGGGACGTGTGTGTAGGCTAGGCTACTAGATAACAGGGTGTCATGTGACTGTGATAGATAGCCTTTATCAAGTTGCAATCTGACAGGCTCCAAAGAAACAGCAACGAACCTTCTAACTTTCATGTGCCACCAACATACATAATAATGAGAAAGCAATGTGTATATATATCTACTTGGAATTTATTGATAATAGTACTCTGAGATTAGGATTGAGATGCTGTTCCTAATTTTTCATATTGGTTAAATACAAAAAATGTACCGAGTACAATGCCATCATCAGTTTTGTCATTTGTGTCAAGAAGGGATTGATAATTTAAGTTAAAGCAATGCTGACTGTGATTTTCTTTTTTATACTTGGAATATTGATGTCATAGGTAACATTATGAAACCAGCCTCATGTAAATGCAAGATTGTTTAGTGTCTATTTTAGGGAAGTATTTTGAGTTTTATTAATCTCATGTTAAAGGAGATAAGTTATCTCATATCATAGAAATAAATTTGTGGGCTCCACCACCTGAAAAATAAAAATAAAAGAAAAGAAAAAGGTGGCACAATTATCGAAGGGTGTGTAAGAGAGAAATTTATTACGTGTAGCATAAAAGTAATTTTTTCCAAATATTTTTGGGCTTTATTTTTGTTATGTAACATAACTATCCTACACACACAATTTTATGTGGGTCTCGTCCCTTGATTTTTCTCTCTTCTTTCTTCTCTCTTCTCAAATGTGTGGGTAGGTTTGTTATGTTACATCATGCAACATAACAAACATAAAATCCAATATTTTTTATGGTTCAGGACCATCCAATAATCTGGTATTCTCTCTCACAACATCAATTTTTTCTTTTTCTTTTTATCATGCTATTTTTTCTCTTCTAATTTTACCTTTCTAACCACCTAAAAAATGATAATCTCGGACCACAATAAATAATCTCCTATTTTAGATCCTCGGTCTCGAGTGAATATTTGATGAACTCGACTCACATGAGTCGGATAGAAAGAAAGAAGAGGAGAGAGGAGAGAGAAGAGCGAAAGGGACCGCCAAATTAATTTTCCTTGATGCCATCTTTCTCTGAACTCTATGCATAACAAGAATTTTATAGCACTAGGCTATCTTTTGGAATAGTGATGTCATATCACTCATACGAAGACTCTTAAGTCTTAACAAAAGAAAAAAAAGGAAAAAGAAAATGCCACAAGAAGCATTTGAAGAGTACTTTCTTTTAAATGAATTTGCATTAAGGAACAGATATATATTTCAAAACATCAACATTAACAATACTCTTATTCCAAATTAATTGAGTTGTGCTAAATGAATCCAAATGAAAAGGTCTTAACCAAACAAGGAATTATAACAATGGAGAATTTGATTTTCAATCATTTGTTTATCTTGAAACATCAATCTTCAGTCATTTGTAACGTTATAGAGTTGACTGCTGTTTTTGTTTTTTCAACTATTTTCATTCAAATTCAGATTGCACAAATTTCTGTACACATAAATTTTCTAATGTCATCATCTAAAACAATTATTCTTAATTGACCATATTGGGAACTGAAATTTCAATGTTACATATTGGGCAAACCTTCTTAATTTGAAGCCACTTGCTTATGCAATCTTCATGATAAGGGTGGTCACAGTGAAGTGCCACCATGTCTTCACCTTCTTCATATTCAACTTGACAAATTACACAGCGGTCGATTCCACTTTTGTTTTTAGCAGAATGACAAGTATAAGAATGCAAGCATGAAGAAATTTCATTTGCTGATAAACCCCTTTTCTCTTTTCCTATAAAATCTCCCAACTCAATCAACTCTTCATAAGTCAATTCATCTACATCAATATCATCTTCTTCCATTTCTTCATCATAATCATCATCATCATCATCATCATCATTGTTTCCTTCACTCTCAAGAAACTGAAGGTCCGTTTCAAACTCTTGGCTCAGGAAAAAATCAGCATCCCCATCATCATCATCATTATCAAAAGATGAGTCACTTTCACTTTCAAATGCTGTGAATGTTCCATTTTGCTCTTGCAAGCCAATTGCTAGATTAAAATCAGAGCTAACTTGTTCAAGTTGAGTGTAAGGGTTTTTTTGAGGAGATTGTTTGTCTTCTTCACGTTCCATTGAAAGACGAAAAGGTGTTAACCTACAAATTGATGGTTTGAGAACAGAACAAAGTGATTTTGGTATTTGAGGAGATGAATGGAAAGCATATTTTAGAGATTTCTTTGAGGATGAACAAAACTTCCATGTCAAGTAATGAGAAACCGTTCTCTTGGATTCTAAATATTCTAGATTCTTGGTTATTTCTAGGTTTCTCAACTTGTCATTACCAATGATTCCCATAAACTTTTCTCTCTTTGGATAAGGCAGCTTACGTGCAAAGCAATAGTAAACATTCTCCATAAGCAGCAATATACCTTATCCCAAAATTGAAGATATCAATCAGCTAGCAATTGCTGCTGCGTGTTACCTCAATTGTGAACCCTTCATTGTATATATTATATTATTAACATAGATTGGTTCTATTTTGCTTTCATATTTACCAATTTCTTGAGACAGAAAATATGTGATCACAATTCCTTTCATTATTATTCTCTTATTCATGCCTTTATCCCTTTTAAAGTATAAAAGAAAATTAAAAATGTTAATTTTCCACTTTCCTTTTAACAAATCATAAACATATATTGATAGAAAATGGTTCGTATATATCAGATTCTACCACCTCTGCCCTCTTTTCCTTTTCTTTCTTTTTTTCTTATTTTGTTTCACCTTTTCTGGCGGACTTGAATGCCCAGGTTACATGTATGTTACGAAATTTGCCGGTGTATATTTGCTTTACGTCATTACTTTGGGGGCGTTTGGTTCCGGCTTTTTAAATATTCTTTCATGCATCTGACTTTCGCAAAGTATGTAGTTCATGTTTGATAGAGATATTTAAAATATTTCCCGTATTTGCATGGCATTTCAGAAATGCTTGTTAGAATTGAAGTCAAGTCACTATTGAGAAAGAGGAATTGGAGGTGGTATTTTGTATTTAACTTGGTAAATGGCAAGTAGGGCAACGAGATGCAGACGAAAATACCCTCATGTAAGCTAAATAACTGTCCAACACACACTGATACTTTACACGACGGTAATTCATATTCAAAAACTTTAAAAAAGGGGTATTTTAGTATTTTTAATCAATTTTCTCATCAATATTCTACCTTCAACCAAACATATACACTCACAAAATTTAATCCAATTTTCCTGGTAATATTTTAGCGTACCAAACAACTTTTTTCAAATTTTCCTACTAAAATCATTTTCCCATAATATTCCTAATAATTCTATTTCCCTGATAATTTTTTTTTCTCCCGAACCAAATACCTCCTTATAACTGAGATCTCCACAACAATATATATATGGAGGATTTATATTGACAATTTTTTTTCTTACAAACTACACTATGTCTGACCGGTCAGATTTCAATGAAGAATGTATGACCGGTCAGAATGAATGTGGTTTGTAAATTTGTAAAAAAAAAAGTTTGTCAATATAACCTTCCTCTTATATATATATGGAGAAGGTTATACTTACAACCTATTTTTGTTTACAACTTCTTACAACCATATATTAACCGTTGATTTTCGTCAATCAACGGTTAAGATTTTCGCAAATCAAATTTATTAATTAATGATTAATTCATAATAAATGACAACCGTTGATTGGCGAAAATCAACGGTTAAGATATGGTTGTAAGAGTTTGTAAATTATTTGAGTTGTAAATATAACTCATATATATATATATATATATATTGGGGTAACCATATATATATATGGGGTAACCATTTCTACAGCCACTTTAGATAAGGTTATCTACAGCTACCCAAAAACTATGTCGTTTTGATTAATGAAGGGTGTTTTTGTAATTTTAGGTGAATTAATGAAGGGTGTTTCGGTATTTTTTTATCATATACATTTTACGAAAACACCCTTCATTAATTCACCTAAAATTACAAAAACACCTTAGGATTCTTTGACATTAGTGTCAAATTTTTTAAATTTGACACCTCACCTGAGAGCCATTAGATCAAAAAAGATCAATGGTATCACATGCTTACAAATCAGAGTCGTTGATCTTTTTTGATCTATTGGCTCTCAGGTGAGGTATCAAATTTTAAATTTGACACTAGTATCAAAAGATTTTACCCCTATATACATATAAGTAAGGTCTCTTCTAAATCCAATCTAGCATGATGGTTCCTTTGCTAGACCACAATAGGTAAAAATGATGTGCTCATAGGTGTTGGAGCATGCATTAAAAGGCCTTCATCGGTATATTCTCCACTTGTGTAGAACTTTTGACTGATGCCTTTTCTAACCTTGACTCTTCTACTTCTGAACCTGTGTAGTTTTATCAAACAAATAACAATGTAAAAATTCAAGTAAATAGGAAAATAAAGAGAAATAATCTTATAACTTAGCCACACCTACTAATAGTTTCGGTTGATTGCAAATTAAACCAGTGTTTTTAAAACCAAATTAAATATTAAACTAAAGAAACCTTTTTTTGACCATATATCAATTGCTTCAGCCGGTTAAATTTATGACTGAAGTGCGCTTATATCGTATAATACTTGAACAACAAATATAATTAGTTCAGGATTCGCCCGTTCAAACAACTAATTCAGTTCAATTTTTTAAAAGATTGTTTTAAACAAGTTTTTCAGATACTTCCACATATAAAGAGACACAAGTGAGGGGAATCGTCGTTAGAGGCTTCTAATAGCAAAATCAACCATAAATTTGAGATCTGCAGGCTCAAAAAACCACTTCGCTGAAACCAATTTTTTAGGACAATTGAGGGAAATTGGATTTGGGGACAATTTTTGTTGTATCTTTCTTGAGCTTTGCATGCCACCAATCTCGACTAAAAACATCCAACAGATCACTCATAATTTAATTCACAACATGCCAGACTACAGAATCCTCTTTCACCGATAAACTAAATATACAAATAGTAAACTGTTTGAATATAATTTTCAGGGTACAGTTAAAGTGCCACAATAACAAGGAACCCATTAACAATGCTTGGCAAATGATCTGCTAGCTATTCAGCTCCGCACTAAACAGAAAACGAAGTGATGGGAAATGGATGACAGGTGGCTTAAAAGTTAATCCATCCGTCCCTTCAAAATCCTTTCCTTTACTTCGGTTGGCGTGCTGCAGCAGACAAATTAAAAAGACCCATAAGCCACTACCATAATATATTAAACGAATAAGCATAGAATCAAACTAAAATAAGCTTAAACAGGATATAATTATACTATTTTCAAGGAAGAAAATACTTAAAAAAGTAAAATAAAAAGAGGAAGAAACAAAAAAATTTGAAGAACATAAAGAATTGGAATACAGTGGTGTCCCACACGTTTAGAGAAGGCAACATGCTGGTTGATTGGCTTGCTGCCTATGCTAGAACTTTTGAAGGCTGGGGCACATACATTCCGGAGGATCCCCCCCTGGAATGCAGAGATTTGATAGGTAGAGACTCAATGGGATCAAGGGAGTCTGTAGCCTTAGGGCTATGTAGATCTTAGTGTGTTCTTTTGTTGTATTGTTCCCTTTTATCCAAAAAAAAGAAAAGAATATAAAGAATGTTATTGCATGTTTCTATTTTAAAGTGATTACGGCAATCAGACTAAGCATAAAAATGAGCGGGTAACTTTAAAAGTCACAACCGCTGCCATTGCCTTGCAGTTTAGCGGGACTTCCCTAGTCAGGATTTATTTTCATCATGCCTCCTTGTCAAAATATTTTCCATGGATTATGGAAAAAGTAAAACCATCCAACCAGTGGCTTGTAAGACGGCCAACTCATAAAAAGTAAACTTATGAGTACTTATCTCCAAGATTGACAACAGTATGGAAAAATCTTAAGACCAAGCTACTAAGAGAACAGAGAGTTTATAAGCTTACACAACATAGACATGCCCACCCCAACCACTTAAACAATCACGATCTACAGATGATAGCAGTGCTTGGGAGATGGTCTCAAACAATTCCTCTGATTCCTGTGTCAAGATAAGAAACCAAGCAGAAAAAAAAATAAGCTGCATCAACGAACATGAAGAAGCTATGTTTAAAAATCATTTAAGCTATATGGTAAGTGTGATAATGTGCAAAACTTTGATATGCTGAAACCAAACTGCAAAATTGAGGTATTATTAAGGGCCCTTTCTATTTCAATCCCAAACCCCGACATACCCCACAACATCTAATATCCATCCAACAATTCTGTCCCAGAGAGTTTGCACAACTAATGTTGCATTTTGTAACTAGATAACTAATTGAATTAACCTCGCATACGTCACATGCAATAGTATTTTGATATATATTTATACAATCTTCCTCCCCTCCCAAAGAAAATTTCACCGTGAATTCACTTATTCTGCATAATGTTATTTGATTGAATAATAGTATGTCTTGACTAAATGCAAAATGGCTGGCTATGTTACACTACATTTTAAAAAGACATTGATTGAAGTTTGCTACTGCTACCCTCAACAAAAGATCTGTTCTAAAACAAATTTTCAAACACAGCCTTATACGTAAAGCCTTCTGCTTTAAGTTCAATCCATCAACTGATTAGTTGAACATACTGACCTTTAAAACCTAAGATGATTTCATCTTTCATCTATACTTTCACATTGATGCTTACTCTACAACTACGGTGCAAAATGAAGTCTACAGACTACAATACATGGATGATGTTCTGGATCCAAAGCAAGAAACTATCCATGTTAAAGTATGTCAGTTAGTGGACATGCTGAGACTGAGTGCACCAATTTGCAAAATCATGCAAAAGAATTGCATAAAAGACAAAACAAGTTAGACTTCATGACAAACCATGTCAGGCTTAAACATCGACTCGCAAGCACCATATAGAGACTCAGATGCACTGCCAGCAACAACAAAATCTTTTGCAAGCTCCCTGCATATAAGAAAATAGAAAGATATTAGTATCACATACACACAGTTCATATGAAATTATATAAATTACATGTTATTCTAATAATAAAAGGGAGGAACAAACTTGCATAAGAGGTCCCTTTAAAACAACATACACTCTTGAATATTTCCAGATTAGAGGATATAGAAAACAGAGGGTGTGCATGAAAGAGAAATAGAGAGAGAGAGAGATTCAAATCTTAATTCATTTCTTGTTTGGCTGTCAAAAGTACTGCATAAGGATGCATAAACCTTAATCTATTAGAGCTTAGCAACCCTCTTGGGGGAGTTCACCAAAAATCTGAAACTCCAGTGATGCAAGAAATGTTTTTCCAACAGAGTAGTGGTTCTAAAAGAAATTAAATATTTAAAACATCAAGCATTTAGTAGTAGAAGCCAACATCTGTCAGTGAGAATCATACAACTTCATTTTACTCCATTAAGAGTAAACTTTAGGGTAGTTTCTATGCTACATCCAGAAACGGCTTGAGTGTCGAAGTACTCCCTATTGAAAAGGACATGTAAAATGGTATAAACTATGCACCTCAAAAACAGCAAGTGATTTGTATGTGTACGTGTGTGTATACATTTATACTACACATCTATGAAGCACCGACTCCGACACGGCATTTTCGATACGTTCCTAATACGTTCTCGATACGACCGTTAATTCGTCGATACGATACAATACGTTTCCGATACGTTGTCCGATACGCGTATCCGATACGTTGGAAAAAAAAATTCGGAGTATCGGTGCTTCATAGCTACACATTGCTAACATTTACAAGTTTTAACATATACTAACCTCCCTCTACAAGAAAATATGGACTGTAGAATAATTCAACTTACTTTGCTCCAATTGCATCCATTGTGCAAATGAATGGTTTGTCTTCATCCCCTAATCCAGCAATTACAGGCTGGCAAAAGTATGGACCAAACCTGAAAAGCAAAATAATGCATACTTTGTTTTCATAGTTTCAAAATATTTTTTCATTAACATAACAAAAAAATATACAACATTATAGTTAATTGTGATTGTTGTAACCAGGTATGGAACAACCAAAACAGAAAAAAACTGACAGAAAAATTTATGTAGTTTAACCTTTAACAATTATTGGTCTACATCCATCAGCAAGATGAAGAAAATTCACCATAATCAATAAAGATTACAACTTTACAAGGAGTAGCTGCTCAATGTTCAAACCCTAATCCCAATACACTCTTCACTGTTGCGGAAATTTAGTGCACTCTATGAACTAACTAATGATGTGATCCATCAACTTCAACCACTAATGTCCATGAAAAAACCTTGGGGGATCACACTGTGTTTTTCAGGTTGGTTATATGTTTGGCCAAGTCGAAAAGGCCAAAATTAAATACAAGCCACTTTTTAACAGATGGTAACTGCCATACTCATCAATTTGAGCTAAATACAGTTCATCAAAAAGGTCACAGGTTCGAGAACAGCCTCTTTGTAAATATGGAAGTAAAGGCTGCATATAAGGATTGTCCTTATCCCTACCCTCACTAGTCAGGGTATAATGGAGAGTGGGTTTTTCTTTTCTTTTTTTACCATATGCATCTTCCCTTGCTCCACTGAAATAACAAAGCATTTAATTTGCTTCAAAACTGAGCCTCTCTTTTCATACATTTACGTTAGTTGACCAAAACTGTTATTTTTATTTTAAATTTGAGAAACTGGGTGTTCAATGTTCATCCTGACTTTGCACTTCCTATCCTGTACAAAGCTGCCAAACCTTATAACGAATGTAAAGCAAATTAAGATTGCATGGCCATGCACAAAGGTCATGCATTTCCCAACAATATTTTTTTATTATGTTGAAACAGTAATGAGTCCACAAATGACAAGTCTCTTCACTTTATTTTCTTACCAGAGATTGTTTAATTCAGTCAAAAAAACTTGTCTGAATCTACAATTGAAGAGAGTTAAAACTACCCGCAAAACACTAGAAGAAGCAGTTTCGAATGAAACCATACATCCATTGAATTGTGACTTCTGGTATGGCACCAGAAGACAGAATCAAGATAAATCCTTGCATATTCATTGTTTATGATTCACAACAATGTTTTTCGTAGCTATTATTTTTGTTACTAACGCAAACGGGATAATTTATCAAATCGACACGTCAAGAAACCACTTTACCAGTCTTAGGGTCGGTAAAATTTTCCTATCATTTCCTTCCACAACATAGTTTATAATCGATACATTCAGAAAACTTCAACTGTGCAAATCATAGCTAGAGAATCCCCTCCTTTACTCAATCGCCTAGCAGCACAGAAGTCAATAATCAACAAGGTTTAAAATTGCAGACCGCATCATGTGATGCAGCCGCAATATCTCACTTACAAGGATTAGAAAATAGTCTCAAGCAACTGGTGCTGTATTAATTGTGGAATGAAATGATTCACATGTTCATATAAAATCCAAACCTAATTTTTCAACCCCCTTTAAATGGCACCGAAAAACTAAATTTTCTAATATAATTTCCTTTAAAAAAAATCCATAAGAATTTCAGATCTAAATCACATTACCTTTTCTCATACAGAAGAGCAGACACTAAGCTAGCAAAGGTCTCTGGTTTCATATCCCTCTCTTCACGAAGCTGATACAGTTTGTGCCGAAAAACGAGACGCTGATACCTTCAAGCAGAAAAAGAAAGAGCAACAAAAATTAAAAAAAAAAAAAAAACAAAGAATGAAAAGTGGGAAGGGAATGTGAAGGTTACAGTGTCTGAGCATCGGTGGCGAGGCCAGAGAGACCAATGAAGAGCTTATCGTGAATCTTAGAAATTCTTTGGAAATCAGTGGCTATGGTCTGAAGCTGAACGCCGAGTCTTCGATCGCTGGCAATGGCGAAGCAGTTCTTGCCCACCATAGCAACTAGGGCACTTCCGTTGTACTCGAAGATCGACATCTTTTGATCCGAACAACTCAATACTCCTCTCGATGCAAATTCTAAACCCTAAAACACGATGGTGATAATAATAGGGAACAATTTGATAAAATGTTTAATATTTGAAGCCCGTCATAGTTTTCTTTGGGGTTAAGCCACCAAATAATAATAATAATAATAGTAATAATAATAAAAATAATAATAATAAGATGCATAATATTGTAACAACCAATCAATGTACTATCAATGTTACTACCAATCAATTTTACTGTTAAATCGATTATGTTGATCCAACTGTTATATTTATTTTCATCTTTGTATGGTTACGATTTCCCATTAAATATGAAAAATCATAATCATACAAAGGTGAAAATAAATATAAAATATTAAATTTGAGGAATCGTAACCATACAAAGATAGAAATAAATATAACCGTTGGATCAACATAATCGATCTAACGATAAAATTAATTTATAGTAATATTGATAGTAACACTAATTAATTGGTACAATATCCTTCTCCTAATAATAAATCGTTGAAAAAAAAAATTCTCTTCAATTTGTTGAAAAATTGTATTATATCAATTTTTTGCTGTATAAGTTGGATAAATCAGTGGGATCGATATGGAAAACTCGGAAAAAAGTTACATATGAAAATACTTTACAATTGTTTTAATAAAATATAATTCAACTGTAATATTTAAAATCTGTTTGTCACATCTAATTTTTAAATTAAAAGTTATTTTGATCAAAAGTTAAAATAAAAATTTAAAAATAAAGTCAAAATTATTTGTGATTGTATAAAATTATTAGTCTGAAAATTACTTTAAAGCTCAACCTAAAAATAAATTTTTCATGAAATAATTTTTGTAAGTTTCAAAAAAAAAATTATCATAAAGGTATTAGAAATATCGATTACTTAGATAAATATAAATATTATAAGTAATAAAAGATAAAGATCTTAAATATAAAGATTTTAAATAAAAAAATAGATTTAAGAATGAATAAAACATTATACATGTATTTTTCTTGGTGAAGAATATGAGGCGATTGAATGATTTATTGGTAGAATAGAGAGTAAAAGTTGTAAAAGCAATTTCAAAATAAACACATAATTACAAAAAAATGTTTAATTTTTCTCATGAATATGATTTTATTTTCTACACATACATAAAATTGCGTGAACCCTATGTTGGGTCATGTGAAGAGAAGAAAAAAAATGGGCCCACATATTTTTATATGTATATAATCGATAAAATTATTTCATTTAACATAAAAAATACTAATCTCTTAGAAAAAATATGATGGCTCATAACAAAATTGATGTACATCTTAAAAAAGCCTTGAAGTTTCTAATTTTTTTCTTATTTTATTCATTATAAAAAAATTATGACAATAATTTTTATAAAAATATATGGTTTTAATATTTCTACAATGTAGATAAGTTATCTACATTTGCTTCCAAAATGACGTCATTTTGAGTTAAAAAAATAAAAAATTATAATGAAAAAGACTATTATGGCACTGAAATAAATTATAATTACAAAATTACCTTGATTTTTGCCTCAAAACAACGTCATTTTGGGCTCAATGTAGATAAATTATCAACATTGACCGTAGAAAAAGCGAATCCAAAATATATTTGAATAAATATTTCCTTATAAGGAAAAGGGAAACTAAAAAAACCCAGGCTTAAAAATTTAATTGATATATCAACCCTAAATTTGAAATGATTTCGTCCTCGTATATCTGTGGTCCTGTCGAATTTAAATACTGATCTGGATAAATATTATACAAATACAAGGCCCAGAATTAAAACCTTCACAATGAAGCAAATCCTTAGTCCAAGAAGGCTGCAAGCTCCATAATATTAAAAGCACCATGACAGATAGCAAGCTCCATGACAGCCATCAAGCTGCATAATATTAATGGCTTTATCCCATCAAGCACCACAATATTAAAGCTTATCTTAGCAAAGCTCCTCAATATTAAAGGCAGCATGGCAGCAAGTAACTTCCAGATATTTCATCTCCAAGTATACTTCAGCATTAAGACATCTCCAAGCTGCTCATATCTCTATTATAAATACATGTATCAACACTAATGTACATCATCTTCTCCTACATAATTAAACCTGCTTGAACCATAACTGACTTGAGCGTCAGAGTGTCTTGCAGGTACACCCCCCATCGCGTTCCATCGAAGACCCATGGGTTAAAGCTGCTCCAAACTCCAAACTGCAAGATGCTCTGACCCAAGGAGGTTCCAGGCCTTTGTGTGGAGGAAGATCACATGATCGGCCCAGTTGTAATAATTTGTTCCGATCAAATACTAATTGAGATTTTACACAATGCTACTATAATGTAATTAAATTTGATCATAATCAAGGTCATGTAATCAGCCAAAAGTTCATGAGAAAAAAAACCACTTTTATAGGATTTCAACTAATAAGAACAAGCAAGGGCTTAACAGTATGATATTTGAAAGCACAATCAAGAGCTATAAAGATAGAAAAGCAACGTAAGATGATGATACATATTGAATGATTGAAAGAAAGCAAGTAAGAACGAACAACAAAATATTAACCCAAGTTAAGATAGGGAAATATTTTCTATTCAAAATAAGAATAAAATTAAGAAGAGATAGATTACTCCCTTGAAAGATAAGATTACAAGACATCTTATCTTTTATTATTCAAAATTAAGGAATTTGATGCGAAATACCAATTTTTTTTCTAGGCTGCTATCTTGTAACATTGGTACGATTCTGTAATCAACATGTTTGATATACAGATAGATCAAGTCATTCGTTGGATTCATTACGGCGAAACTTCTTCTTCCAACCTCGAGCAGAAAATTAAGACTTTTTACCCTTCTGATGCAAAAATATAAAAAGCCAAAAATAAAATAACGAAGAAGAAACTACTTAAAATGAAAAAAGAAAAAAAAAATAAGGAACACATAAACAAGAAAAGATTCTTAAAATTTGAATCTTGACTTGAACGAAAAAAAAAAGTGAGAATTAGAAGCAAATCGCGAACACGACAAAGAGAGCTCGCGCTCAAAAGAAAAAGGAAATAAACCTTGAAAGAAAGTTGGGAATAATGAATCCAACGAAACGACTAGATTCATCCATCTGTTATTCAAACATATTGATTACAGAATCAGACCAATGTTACAGTGTAGAAGGAGCTTCAAGAGAGTGTCATCTCTCATACCATAAAAAAATATTTTTCGTTGATTAGTTATCATTTATTACGAATTAATAATTAATTAATTAATTTAATTTCAGAAAATAATAATCGTTAATTGATAGAAATCAATGGTTAAGATAAGATTGTAAGAGATTATAAACAAAAATAAATTACTTTTTCCTCAAGTAAAAGATAAGTTATATACCTAAGAGAACAAAGCAAAGTGATACAATTGGATAATAATCCCTTATTTAATTACAAAAAAAAAAAAGCAATCCCTTATCAAAAAATAAGATATTTCTATAACTTTATCCCTTATTTTGAGTAGAAAATATCCCTGTTATCTTATCTCTTGTTTTTGATAGAAAATATTTTCATTATCTAGAAGTATTATGGAAGATACGTGTCAAGGTAAAGAGATAAATGTATAATCTCCTATTCTACGACTAAGAGATAAGCGATGACATTACTTATCTTATCCCTCCACAAACTAAAGAAATAAGGGTAGGATCCCATATTCTATGACTAAGGGATAAACAATAAGATTACTTATCTTATCCAGAACAATTTCATTCATATTAGGATTCTAAACTCTTTTATAAATAAATGGTTAAACCTCTCAAGTAGGAACTTTTAAACTCTCTACTCTCTTGTTATCACTGCACATGCCTCATGCCTTCTGTTATATGCTAGTTTCATTATGCATAGAGATTTATTACCCTTGTTGTGTCATTTTCATATATTACCGCTAGCATACTAATCCCAGATACAATCACTAACCTTCAATTGGACATTCAAATCGATCACTCTACAATCTTAGTCAACAAAATCATATTAGTTTTAAGTAAACCTGGCCACTCTTCAAAGGTTGTTTTGGACTAGCCTCACTAGCCTTGTTCCATAGGGCCGTCCTTAGAGGTTCATTTAAGGGGTCACTCACCTGCCTCTCTAAAATGAGACTTTTAATGCTCATAATAGAAGATCTCTCACTCCCAACATCAGATCACAACATAAAGGTTTGGCAGGTGCACTTGTGTAACACCCCGTATATATCTGGTAATGTTATAATAATATCGTATTAAGCTGCGCTTAATTAAAATGCGGAATTACTTTTTTTCTTTTCAATTATGATGTCATTAACATTACCAACTTGCTTAATAATCAATTAATAAAACATCGCCTGTATGTAATTACAATAAAATAGCTAACTGAAATACCTCATAACATAGATAATATAAGTGTGGCTCTAGTCACGGAACTACAACAACATAGACCGGACCATCTAACAGTTTATACAACTCCAAACTACAAGTACTAACAGAAAGTGTCATGGACAATCCCCATGCTCACTCAAATAAGGCAACATGTCCAACATCAGTCTCAACAACAACATATCATAAATAGCGGAAAATATAAACAGCATCCAAATCCAGTCATGCTGACATAAGTAGTAAAACATAATCAGCTAAGCTCCGGCCTCCTGCCGCCTGCCGCCTGAGGCATCAGTACCCATACTACCTGATCCTGAAATAAGCATTCCCCAAACGTGGGGTAAGATCTCTAATCTAGAAATCTCAGAAAGTCAGTGAGTCCTCAAGGATCTTCCACCCCAAGCTCACTTACATGTGCAATATAAGTTCAAAAACAGTTTATCATTTATCATTTCTAAAACAATGCAATGCAGCAGATAATCATATCATGTGTGTCAATACTAATCTACTGGCCAGAGAAATGCAGGATTTACATACGCCAAATACCCACACTAGTGCAAGACACTACTTGCATCCACCCCGGATCACCGTCTTGTATGACGCTACATACTCAGGTTTACCGTCAAGATGGAACAACACATGCATATTAAAAGCCATTACACATAAAGTTCAACAACATTTCAAATA